GAGATACCACAAAAAATTCCTGCCCATTGTACACTTCCTGAACCACCACAACAACCTTCCAACCTTCCCACAACGACTATCTTTACTGGACTCTCAGACTACTCTGAATTTAAGATAACCCACAATTAATTCGATTCTAGGCATGGAATATGTATATATTTGTTATAATTTTCCATGTCTAGAATCTAGCTTTTGAAAGGTCGCCTTATATTAAATCCCCCCACAACCACAAAGCAGAGCCACTCAACTACTCTGCTGTGTGCTCCCCCAACTCTCTCACCCACCCCCTCCTGCCCCAGCTGCCTGCCACCCCCCACACACCATGCTTGTGCACCCACACCTGCCCTTATACCTGAATCCCCTGCCCCCGCACTTGCACCACCTCCTGCTTGGTTCCCCTGCCGCTTACCCATGCCCCTGCCTGGCCCTATCACCTGTCCTCTCCAAGTGGTACCAGCCTCCTCTAGCACCTGCCACCCTCCAACTCAGCTTCCTCTGCTGCCCCTCAAAAAATTAAAATTCAATCTAATTTGTTTTACTTTGGTATCTTTATAGCAGATCAATTACTAAGAACCTGTAATTAAAACACTATTTGAGTTACCTGTTTACTTTACAAAATGGTATTTTAAAGGAGCTAGAGATGCTATATTTATGTAAGTGAAAAAATGTTCTTGTTCCTTTTGAGTACAGGGAAAACAATTTTCACTATAAAACGAAGAATGTAGTTCTTAGTGGTTAGAAGTAGTGTTTTGGGGTTACTTTGGTCACCACACAAGTATTGTTCCTCCTCTCCACCCTTTCTAATTATATGACATGCTAACTTCCTTTCCAGCTGAAGAACTCAATTTCCTTACGCAGGTTTCTTTAAATATTTTTTCAGATAACAGCTATTTAAATCATACAGTCAGAATTTAAAACAATTAGAAAGTGATGGAATTTGGTGCATAAATTTACATCAATGCATTTAGTTTCACACACTCTGGGCCTCTATGGTTTTAAAGCTACATCTGTACTGCCTTCTTGCCAAATCTAGACTACAGCTGAGAAACAAGCCCCACAAACTCACTCTAGGAACTAGGCACAAGAGATATCTTAAAGAGTCCTTAGCACATACCCCTGGCAAAACCATTCTTCTGCTCTCTGTGAAAGACTGACACTTTCTGCAAAAACATTTGAGTTTTATAGTACACCCAATTTCTAAGAGTCTTAAGGCAAAGTTCTGACTAGCTCTATCAGCAGGGCTCCTCAAAGAGCTAAGCATCTAGTTTAATCTGCTTCCTGCCAGCCCCTCTTTGAAAGATTGGAAAAATTAATCTTACTGTATTTTGTAAAGTATTTTGAGATGTGCAAATGAAAAGTATCATGATAGTGCTGTAGAAACATCTTACTGGAACAACAGAAGAGAACATAGGCTTCCATTAACTTTTACAGCCACATTGTGGCTAAATGTTGTCCCAAAATACACACTTCAAACAAAAGCTGAACACAGGAGAGGAAAGAAGGGTCCTGGTCACATTTGTTCCCTTTGGTTTACAGTTTCTCTGAGGTAACTCAGCAAAAGACTGACTGATGCTTTGCGGTTAATCAACATGCTTCCATGGTCTGTACAACCAGGTTTTGCACAGAACAGGAATTCACCGAGAAGCACTGGAAGAACTGAAATATAATACAGGGCACTCTGCATATTATACAAATTTTTAAAAAGTTAAGGTGGGATCTTAAATACTACAGAACTTTCTATGGAACAACAGTTACTATAACGGATTCCCTGAAGTTGTGAAGTGATTGCTTATGCTCAGGAAACATGTATACAACTTTAATTTTAATGCACATTGTTCACTCATTAGTCATAACTACAGGCTCACTCCCCCAAAAGGAAAACAATTCAGTTTCCTATTAACCAGGCATGTCACTCTGGTGGGTTGTCTGCCAGACTACTCACCCTTTCTCTAGTTTGCCTATTAGAAATAGGTTTACAATGCAATCTGTGTAGATCAATAAACTAATAAAGCAAAGACAAATAAACTGTGTCACTAAAGCCAACCTCATTCTCCACCAGGGAAAGGACTGGAAAAACATTTACATAAAAGAGAAATCTGTTTTAAAACTAGATAATGTCTGAGAATGAAAATACCTTGTGACTACATAAAATTATTCATTTTTCACTGTCCAATTCTACTACAAATGGCCCAATGTTGCCAACACTCATGGTTTTTCTGTGAGGCTCATACTGTTTGCTGCATTTCTAAAAGCCACACCCTCCCAGAGGCATGCAATTACATGAGAATCTGAGCTTTCATTTGAAAACCAAGAGGTAAGCCTCTGTGGCACAGAACAGTTTTAAAATATAAAACCTAATGGTTCAAGCCACAAGCAAAAATATTTTGCTCTCAATATTTATTTTATTTCTATTAAAATTCCTTGTGATTTTAGGGACCTGACTCATGTCTCTAAATGCCTGGGGTTGGCAATGATGCTATGGCACACTCTTTCCAATGCTCTCACCCCACCCAACCCCACCCAACACGTGCACTCACACACACTATCTGGCAAGTACTTCACTAGACCTCTAGCTCTAGATCCTAGTTTTTGCTTACCCCTCTCACAAAACTGCCTTACCTAGAAATTAAACTATGTTTTGTAGTTCTGACAAAGTTACTTGCAATCATAGGTGCATTCTAATGGATCCAAAAATGGTATGTACACACAAAGAATCAACCTTATACCACAGAGTTTTAGCTCCATTAAGCTAAGATGTGTTTTCTTTCTGGACAGCATAATCAAGATTACACAACAATTAAGGACAGGAAATTAGGAGTACCATATCAGTTATAATTGCCAGGGGAGTGGAAGCCTAACACAATGTAATTAAAGTAGTTGGAGCTTGGCCAGAAACTTGGTTTTGTGTCAGATCCAAAACTTAGTACCTCCAGCAGCGCAAAGGGAGTGCATGTGCACTCATGTGCACTTTTCTACTGTACTAATTGACCATGGAATCCAAAAAACCAAATCCACTTAAGCGCATGCTTTATTTTAAGCAGGAATAGTCTTATTTACATCACTTAATTTACCAGATAAAGTTTTGAAATACTCACTCTGGTGCATAGATTGGAACTCGGTGTACGGAGATTAAGGCAGTTAATACAAAAAACAAAACAAAATCTTCTGAATCCCAGGTCAGTTTTTGTCACAACATTAAACGTCTACCCTCACATCAACCTGGGGCATTAGTTTGAGATTAACTCACACTGGAATTTGCTCCTGAGATTCATTATAGACTACTCTGAACAACACAAAAGATCCCTAACAAATGCTCCTAATCCATAAAAAAGGAATGAGGTAAAGGGAATGAGTGGTCAAAATTCTCAGCAATTACGGGTATCCAAAGGCCAATTTCCTATTGTGGAAGGGCAAATGATCTGTCCTGTTTTGAGGCACACATGTAATATGTCAAATGGTAAACTGAAGTTGTAAAGTTTTTTCTATAGCTAAAGAAATACCAAAATTTTTTACAATATATAAAAATATGGTTTTAAGCCCCACAGAATAAAATATCATATTATTTTATTTTGCAATGAAATGCAGTCAATCAACATTTACTCATTCAGGTAAAAATGAGATAATGATCTCTGATCAGACTCTGTCATTGGAAAGAAGAAGCGTTTCAGCAGCCTAGATTTACAGTGCACCAGAACATTCAGTGCTTAGGCCTGCTGGACCAACAGCACTCAAATGCCGGGTAGTAGGTGGAATAATTAACTTTTTAATTACCACACACATAGTGAACCGTTACTTATTAATCCTGCTATTCACTTAGAGACTTGTAATATCCAAGTCAACTTAAACAGTTGATTATGCAACAGTAGTATATTTATTCCCCTTCCAACCAGAATAAGCAACAACTTGGTTACACAAGAAGCACAGGTAATGGAAAAATAAGTTACTTAGGTCTTTCTTCAGAGAAAACTTCCTTCAGCCAAAGCAAACAAGCAACATGTCCAACTATGGCAACCCTATTGTTCTAAGTAATTGTTTGTGATTCAAGGTACATACTGAAATTTTAGTTCCAGAACAAGATCTTACAATCCACATGTCTATCACATGTCCAAGAAGTTTTATTTCTTAATAAAGAGAGACAGGACAAGAGTCAAACTTCATAAATTCTGTTCTAAATTATGGATTTTAAAGAATTAACCCCACGCTATTTCTTCTAATTCATTTGAAATAATGTCCTGCATTCATATTTCAAAACGACTCATCAATTAAAAAAAATGGGTATTTAATAGAGTACTTAAAATCTTATAACTTAAAGGTGCACAAAATAGGTATTTGTAATCAATGTGTACACTGTACAACCACTTCTTTTCAACTAACCAAGGGTAGCTACCCAGGCCACAAGGGCAAAGCTTCATATGCTCATGTGAATCCAACAGCAGAACCAGGGTTGCAGTCCAGTGATCCAAAGTGACAGAAGCCTAAACCATGTCACCAAAGCTACCAGGTTACAGGTACTCAAGTAAATATCAAACCACAATTTATCGTGACTATGTAGAATGCATGCCTGCCTATGCCTAGTTTGGCAAGGATTGGAGCATCCTCTCTCAAGTCTGACAGAGATGCAGGTGCAGGCCTGATGTCCAGAAGTTTGTCCAACTCCTCTCCTCACTATAAATTGGTTCAATGAAAGATGCCACAAAACATCTTGCCTCTCAGACATTTCCTGAACCATCACTGGTAGGACAACACCCCACCTACTATGTTCAGTTAGTTTTAAGAGCTAAAGAAAACTAGAAAAGCTTTCTTCCAACAGCACAGACTAGATTTTCTTACTGAATTACAACTTTATTTCCTTTCATTTCTTTCATACTAAGGAATGGACTAAAACGTATTAATTAATAGTAACAAAAACAGATTACAAGTTACATCTCTGTTACTAACATGACTAGTACAAGTGGAAGCCTTAAAAATAACTTTATCTAGATATTGCTCCTATTCTTTACCTGGCAAAAGCACGGGTTCCAGCTTCTTAATCTTGGGTTCTGGAGTTATCTTCTCTTCAGCCTGAAACAAATGCACACAAAAAAGGAACAAATGGGACTTAAACTTACACACATGCACAAACCAGGTCTTGGCAGAATCAGAGCCCTAGTGAGCCTTAAAGGCTCTGGTGCTGGAATAGGACCCAGGTGGATGGAGCCACTAGCATGCACATACATCTTCTTCATTTATTGTCATGGGTGTAAGCCAGTGGGTCTCAACATTGTTAGACTCAAGGGCACCCCTAGGAAAATGCCAGCTTTCCCTCATGTTATGACTACAAAAAAACAACAGAACAATTCTTCTGTTGAAAATAACTCAGAAAGGCTACAAAAAGTCAGATTTTTTTAGCACTATGGACTCCTACTTAAAATCTCTGGCTTTATCTTGTGAATCACACGTGGGTGTTTGCAAACCTAGTGGCACTAATATTGCCTGGCACCCGCAAAAGGATCTCACGGCACCCTGGGCGCAGCAGCCCCTTGCTGACAATCGCTGGAGTAACTTTACCCGTAGAGAGAAACTTGTGAAGCCAAAGCTTGATCTGTTTGGTTTAAAAGGTGCTGCAGCATTTTATTTTTACTTCCAGAAATAAATTAAAGTACAGTCCAACCAGCGATGCAGAAAACTTTTGCCAAAGAACATAATGGTTTCCACTTCCAGAGAAGGGGCACTCGCCCCAGAAATACAAACTCGGAGGAGCGCTTGTCGCTATCATTTCTGTTTTACTGAGAAAATGCAGAGACACCAAACATAACCAGGCTTGGACCTTCAGTCCTAGCGGCTCCTGGGTCGCTACCTCTTCAACTCCTCCGCCCGCCCGCCCGCCCAGTCCAGACTGGAAATGT